CCCGAATAAAGCAGTATTTGTTAGATTTAAAGTTAATTTCTGTACATGCCGGCGAACGCGCCATAATATTATCGAAATTAAAATCGTGCACTCTAGAAAAGTCCACAAAAAAGATTGCATTTATTTTTAACCGAACAAAGCTTAAAAAAGCTAATTCTGTCACGTATAGCGATATTTTTTCCCTTGCTATTAGTTTCGGAGCATAATGTATTCCGTGGGATGATTTTATGGCTCTATACATCCAAGATGGCTGTAACATGTAACAATACATCATAAGTAAATTTCTGCAATCAATAAACCTTTCTAAACCTTGCACTATTTGCTAACATTTGTCAATTTTGCCAGAGCTTGAATAACATTTTGCAAAATTACGAATAAAAAGTGAACCCGACATCTATATTCCAGCTGCATCGAATTACTTTGCCAGAGGAAGTCTGAAATCTATTACGAGAAAACTATTATGCCAATATAAAATTTAAATTGGATTGAACTAAATTTTCAATTCGAATTTTACGCTAAGTAAAAGTGAACGAATCGTAGCTTACTAAGTGCAAATACTTCAAGTTTTCAACGTCCTCATTAACATTCGGCGTCTGAAAGTTAATCTTGCTGTAGTCCGGAAAATTATCATAGAAATTGAAAGAATTCTAATATTTAATTCCATTTAAATAGTTTTCTCCGCTATACTTTATGATTTAAATAGGTATTACCCCATACTATTCAATACCTACATAAAATTTGCGTTTGAAGTAACACATCCTAATTTTCAGATTTGCATTCTCACCTAAATTTACCCACTAATATTAACCATTGTCCGGAAATAATATCATCGTATCAGGCCAAAATTATTCCGAAACAATCTGCCAATCCTAATTTATAACTTCCAAATCTCTGCCCTCATTTGAATGAGCTGGAAAATAAATTGGAATAACTCTGCGGTAAACTGCTCTTTCCATATTATAGCTGGGTATTTAGTACTAATATGTATGTATTTCTAAATTTTTTTGTCCAAAGTAATATTCCATTTAAAAAATCAAATGTTAACTGTTTGTAAACCCCGCATTTAGGCTGGCTGGCATCTCATTAATATATTGACATTTAATTTCTTTTATTTTCTTTTCAAAGGCAACACGAAAGATATTCCGTTTATTCTATTTCAGTTGTGGTCACGGTGCCGAGCAATTTGGGCAGGGTAAGTACATCCCTAGCAATCGCGAGTAGAAAATCTAAAAACTTTAAAAAAATTTCTGTCGACTTTGTTTAGGTTAACATCAGCCCTTGTTCTGTAGACTACTGGGCTGGAACTCTGTACCGGATAGAGATCGTTATCCCTATCGCTATGACACTTGCTGCCTTCTTCTCTCTTCTCGAAATCAATAGAGAGGAAACGTCAATAGAGATAGAGAAAGAATCTCTATTCGTTACAGAGCCCCAGCTCTGTAGCTTTACGGACGCGAAATTAAAGATTTATTTACCTTCGGATTATAAACGGAACCCCCAGTACGACTATGGACGCTGGGGGTTTCCACAATTATTACGATTGGTATATATTTACTTCACGCTATAAGCTCTTTCTTTAAGAAGGTTCTTCATCGCGAATGGTCCTAGGTCTGCCCTGAGGGTAGGACAGAAAATGAAACATACTTTATAAGTACCAGACAAGAATGTCACCGTATTGAATAACTTCTAGGCAGGTAGTGATCATCGGATAGTTAGGGCCAAAGTTAATATGCACATCAAGAAAGAAAGAGAAAAGGTGATATCGAATATCCATAGTGCAAAATGGGCACCACTGAGAGAGGAAACGGCGTATCAAGTGGAATGAACCAGTGACATGAAAAATTTAAAACATTTGAAGGAAGACGAGATCAATTTGGACATATTGAGTGTGCAAATCAACAATACGCTAAAAGGAATCACATCGCAGTCAAAACCAGGAAAAGAAAATTGAACTCGAAAAATCTGATAAACTAAAGAAAGAGATAGGTAATATAAAAGATAAATACAAAGCGAATAACGATATCCTAAGACAACTGAACAAAGTTCAAGTTTGCCAGACATGATGTTCGAACATACAATAACAAACATACTAATCTGAAGTAATTGAGGATAATAGAAGTCTAAAGCTATTGCGAAGAAATCTTGCTGGAAGAGGATGGAGTATTTCTTAGCTTGCCGATAAAAACGGCAATTACAAGCAAATAAAGCCGAAATCTAAAAATTACTGAAGAGTTTTATAGAGGACTGTGCACAGGAGAGACGGATAGGTCTATTGCGTGGCGGATACGGAAACTTCTATCTCGGTATTGGGATCACTTCTTATTTGTATTTACAGTTTCAATATTGTAGGTTGCTTGAAAAATTGTTCTTCGTACTTATATGCTGATGACACACAGCTACTGCATTTCTTATCGCCGCTAGAATGGCAGTGTGCCAATTCTGTCATAAATGGTGATTTAAATAGGTTGGTGAGACATTCTGAGGAGCACCAATTATCAACCAATCATACATCCAAGCAAGTCTCAGGTTCTAATCTTTGGTAAAAATAAAAAAGGAATTGCTAACAGTATTTAAATTACAATAGATAATATCGATCTCAAATGTGCTGGATCAGCTCCTAATTTAGGATTAGAATTTGATACGGATTTAAGATTCTCGTCGCATGTTAATAAGTACCTGACAAAAGCATATGCCAATCTAAAAATGTTGTATCCTTATCGAAATATCTATAGGCCAAGCAATGAAGGAAGTTTACCTCAACATAATTAGAAGTTAACATTTTTTTAGGGGGATCGGTCCATTTTTATGTGCTTAATAACATATTAAGTTTGCGAACTTGTATTTCCATAGGGTTTTGAGTTAGAGGTGTATAAAACTCCGCGACAGCACCTATCATCTATCGCTTTTTCTCTGCAGCGTCTTAAATAGTAGCTTATTTTTGTTCAAGGTCACTGAATGAGCTTTCGCCTGTTCGCGCGCATTTGGTGCAGCAGCGGCCAAATGCATAATCCGATTTTAATTGTTCAAACACCACGTTATTGCAAATGAAATGCACTCTCCAATGCATTTTTGTTCGAATTTTTGGCTTGAAAATTAAGCGAGCACGGACTCGCCTAATGTGCTAGAAAGTTGTAAATAGCATCGGAAACTACCTCTTTCTTGCATCCACTGTAATTTCTAAACAGGGCCAAATATTTGGTGACAGTTTTTGACAATCGGCAGCCCATTTTTTCCTCTCATAATGCCCCAGCAGAATTTTTTTTTTTTCGTTAATTACTCAATAACTTATTCGCCTGAACACGACGCGCGGAAAATATCTTGTTGTAGGAGCCTTTTGTTAAAAAAATATGATATCTAGAATAATGCTTGCGCGTGCACTATTTTCGCCAATAGCTAAGTCAGCAGTCATGTGAAACAATTAAAATTGCAGTATATTCATGAGAACAATAAATAAAGCCATCGTATCAAATTTCAGCTCTGTGCGACGATTTTTATTTTTTTCGACTTTTTAAAAATTCCGCGCGACGTGTTCAGGTACAAAATTCATTGAGTAATTAACGAAAAAAAAAATCTGCTGGGGCATTACGAGAGGAATAGATGGGCTGCCGATTGTCGAATACTGTAACCAAATATTTGGCCCCGTTTAGAAATTACAGTGAATGCAAACAGTCATATGAATAAAGTCTAGCAATGCTTTTACTCTACCTCTGTCCTTTTTTTCTGCATTAAAGCTGAATATGTTTATCTCAAAAAACTTAAGTAAAAGCATTTGCTCCTATTTTATTCATATGAGCCAGGAAAGGGGTAGTTTTCGATGCAATTTACAACTTTCTAGCACACTAGGCGAGTCCGTGCTCGCTTAATTTGCAAGCCAAAAATTCGAACAAAAAAGCATTGGAGAGTGCATTTCATCCGCAATAAGGTGGTGTTTGAATAATTAGAATCGTATTATGCATTCGGCTGCTGTTGCACCAAATGCGCGCAAACAGGCGAAACGCTGATTCAGTGGCCTTGAAGAAAAACATGCTACTACTCAAGACGCTGCAGAAAAAAAACTATAGAAGATAAAGGGGTGCTGTCGTGGAGTTTTTCAAGGGCAGAAAACTTCAGCTACAACAATCAATTGAAACTTCTTGCTATTGGATCATCCCTTTGAGCAGCGTTCTCCATAAACCGCAAATTACCCCTGCAAAAAACACCCCTAACTAAAAATCCTACAGAAGTACAAGGTCGCAAAGTTGATATGTTATTTAGCATATTAAAATGGACCGATCCCCCCCAAAAAATGTTAACTTCTAATTATGTTTAGGTAAATCCTCTTTTCAGATCTCCGTTTCTTGGACTATTATCAGAGAAGTTAAAAATAAGCCTCACCGATTCGTTGGTTCTTAGCCATTTCAATTTCTGTGTGGTACATGAGCCTTGCATTACCAAAAATGATTCCAAACGGATTCAAGAGGTACAAAAATTGTGTCTACGATATATTTATGGCATTAGAAAATTTGAACCAGTCTCTCACAAGCTGGTAATTGCTTATTGGCTTTATTTGTGTCGAAAATATGAAACTTTGAATTTTGCCTGAAAATCTGTATGTGTTCCAGCAATCCAGCAGTTTATAAGCACATCACTATTAATTTGTTAATCGAAATTGATAATATTAGTATTTTTAAATAAGCAAGTTCTATTTAGTATAGTACTGGGGTCAAAACTAGCATCACTATTAGGTACTGCCTTTTCACCCCATTCTGTAGTAGGTAGAATGTAGTTGAGAATGTAAAATGTACATGAAAAAAATTCCAACTTTTAATGTTGCAATAATATTCAAATAAACCATATTATTATTATTATTATTATTATTATTATTATTATTATTATTATTATATTTTTCTTTTTTTTCTCACATTTCATGCGGATTTTGCTAAATATCGGCCAGCCGGCAAGATGAGAAGCACTCTATGTAATTTCAAGAAAAGTGCGCACTATGCGACAGGTGTTTAGAATTACTGACTTTGTATCTCAGCCACCAAGTGTTTTGTTAGTCCTAGAGTAGTGAGAATTTTGACTAACGAGTAAGGTATAATCCCAGGAGTGGACATGATTATTGGTACAACCGTCACCTTGTTCAACTGCCATTGCTCTTTAATTTCGTCGGACAGCTCCGTGTATTCCAATACTTCAGACTGTATTGTTTCTTGCATATTGTTATTGTCAGGGACAGTAACATCGATCAGATACGCTTCTCGGTTTCGCTTATCTAAAAGTGTAATATCCGGTCTGTTGGCAGGGATATGTCTATCTGTCAGAATTGATCTGTCCCAGTACGTTATTATTCTCAATAATTGTCTCTGGCGTATACTGGTAGTAAGGCTTATTTTCTCCTGGAAGATCATGGTTTTTGGCTAAATTTAGGTGGATTATTTTTGCAATACAGTTATGCCGGTGCAGGTACTCATTTGACGCTAGAATTGTACAGCCTGCAGTGATCCCGAATTCCGAGACGATGCGCGCAGGAAATGTAAACGAGCTTCGGAGACAATACAGCACGTCTCCGAAGCACATTTACATTTCCTGCACCCATCGTCTCGGAATTCAGGATCCCCAATCACATGCTTCCTATAGTTTGCAGTTGGAATAACCATATCTTGAATGGCCATAAAGAAACCTTCAGTTTCAGGAAATAACTCTCCCCTGGAGAGCCGCAGGTTAGATAACTCCTGATCCACATTCTCGACAGAAAGGTCGTGAGGGTGTTTTCCGTGAATGGCCTTCTGCTTCCATGCGTCTATCTGTAAACGAACCTGTTCTGTTTTAGATGGCAAATTGATATCTACGTTGAAAGACTGTAAATCCAATGGAGTGAAGCCTCTATCAGCCCGGATAACGGCGCATAGTAGCGGGTTCGAATCTCTTTTGGAGTAGAAGTATTTTTGGAGATTGTCGATTTGTTGCTTGTGTAGATATTCGATATCAATAGACCCTAGGGGCACCTTGAGTTCTCGGGATTAACAGTCTTTCTTTAGCAGATCTTGGGTGAGCCGTTCTATATTTTGTAAGTAGTGTTCTTGTTTTACGTCCCAATTCCTCCAGATCAGTTTTCGTCCACTTAATTACACCAAAGGTATATGTGAGAACCGGCACCGCATATGTGTTTCTTGCCTTGACCTTGAAGGTGTTTATAGAATTTAGCTTGGCCTTTAAAATGTTAGTAACACGGTTGACATATGTTCCGGAAATGTATTGTTTTATAATTATGTGTTCAGTTCTCAATCCCTGCTGCAGGCCCAGGTAAATAGGTTTCGTTTTCAATTAATGGTGCCATGGTCCTTCTATCCCGCAGCTCGTGCGGTGGTATGTCTACCTTTGATGACGGTCTGCCTTCGACATTTGTCAAGGCCAAATGACATGCCGATATCACGTGAGGTGAGAATATCTCAATGGTTCTGAGGAGTGACTCCACATGGGGTTTGGTTCCAGAATAAACCTTGATGTCAGCATGAACATTGGGTGTGTCACTTTGTGCAATATTTGCTTCTGGTGTTTTAGCTCAAAGCCGTGTTCGCTTGTGTTCAAGAGATGGGAAAGTGGGCTGAGGCTAAGCAAAACCAAAGGGAAATCAATGAGTCGCCCTGAAATAAACCTCTCTGTATCTTCACGGGTCCCATTTCCACATTCCCATCCTTGGAATCAAGAACCAGTCGGGTGGACCATTTGCCAATTAGGTGACGTAAAAGGTTTGTCATAGGAGTACTCACTTTATACAAGCCCAAAACCCTTAGCATCCAGGAATGCGGCACAGAGTCAAACGCCTTCTGATAATCAACGTAGGCGGTGTACAAGTTTCTATTTTCATGTATTGCTTGTTCAAGTATTGTTGCGTCTATTAGTGGTTGTTCTTTGCATCCTTGTGACTTCTTGATGCAACCTTTTTGTTCAGTGGCAATAATGTTGTTGTTTTGGCAGTGGTTATATATTTTGTTGCCAATACACGCCGTTAATAACTTGTAAATTGTTGGTAGGCATGTAATGGGTCGCAGGGACCCTGAAAAGACGTTCATTGAGGCCAAGCTCCTTGATGTTCTGGAGCAAGTTCTTTGGGATTACTCCTATTGTTGACATAATGGTGTGGAGTGTTAGGACGTTTTTCATTCCCCATTGTCTCCTGATATGTTCCTCTAAGCTACGATATTTTTCTATCTTCCCCGCATATTTCTAAATTAAATTATGAATGTTCGATATAGCCACCTCTCTCAGAGTTGTATTTCTTGACCTTTTATCGACAAGAATAAGATCTGACCTATTATGAGGGTTAGTTTGGTCTGTCAAAACAGTGCGGTCCCAATAGAGCTTGTATAAATTATTTTCCAAGATTGGCTCAGGATTGTACATATAATATGGGACTCTATGTTCCTGCGAGAGCTGTAATTTCTCTGCTAGTTCCTGATGCAGAATTTTAGCTAATGCGTCGTGTTTCAGTTTGTATCCACTCGCAGCGAACATTTGACATCCTCCTGTGACGTGTATCAGTTTGTATTCACTCGCAGCGAACATTTGACATCTTCCTGTGACATGCTGTATGGTTTCCGACACCCGACAACCATACCTACAACTATCATCCAACACTGCAGCATCTCTCACTATATATTTTAAATAGTTTCTGGTTGGGATCACCTGATCTTGTATGGCTACTAGAAATCCCTCCGTCACAGGAAACAGCTGTCCCGAGGCCAGCCAGTAGTTTGACGCTATGTTGTCGAGGTAATCCTGACTGATTCGTGATGATTTGAGACTTGCTGCTGTTCTAGCTGTAGAGGAGTAAAGTTATCTGTAAATCATATGAACCGATGTAAATCAGACGTGCCTGCTTTTTGTTGAAAATGGCTGCGCATGTTGGCGATTTGTTGTTCTAGCTGCTTTGATATATCTGCTAGTCCTCTTCCGCCCCAATCCCGTGGGATTGTTGTACGTTCTGTGGTAATTCTTGGAGTAATGTTATGATTTTGCGCTGAAGGTTGCTGATATCAGTGCCGGACCACCCAACTTTCCCAAAGGAATAGCTGAGCACGGAACAAGCGTAGGTGTTAATTGCACTAAACAGATTTTTGCTGTTAAGTTTAGATTTTAACAGTTGTCGTGTTCTTCGTGTAATCTCGGCTGTCAGTTCATCCTTCATCATTCGGTGATTTATATGCTGGCCTTGCTTTTTATTATTATTATTATTAATATTATTATTATCATTATTATTATTATTATTATTATTATTATATATCTCTGGACGGAATCACATGTTCTTTCTCGGAAATAACCAAAAAATTATGATTTTTATTGAGGCGAAAATTGCGATACTAGAAACATTTTCTCAATGGCACAATGCTGTAATCATCGTGCATAGAGAATGCGTTATTGCTACTTGTAAAGTATCGACTCCTAAGCCTTCTTTCACACAAATACGAGGTCTTCACAAAAATCAAAACAAGTAGACTCGCAAATGAACTCGACAATTAACGACCAAGAGAGCAAGTTGGATTCCGCCGTGGTTCCGAGAAAAATGACCACCTGCAAGTCATGAACGCCTAAATTGAGAAATGTATCTAATACGATAAGCCGCTTATCCCTATATTTGTAGATTATCAGAAAGCGTTTGACACCATTGGCTAATACAAAATGCTTCTAGCTCTCGATAATCGTCGAATAGACGGCCAATACATTAAAAAAATTTTGGGAAACGCTTTTACTATAATAAGTCCGAGGCAATACACAAGTTCAGAGCTTGCTTCTTGGTTATCGGCTGGCATTTGCTTACGGCGCATTGTTAACATTATTGCAGTTATTGGTCAGCAGTTAGTTGTCGTCATTCCATTCACACAAAAATGAATAATAGAAGCGCTCAAATAAACAAACCCCTGTTATTGCTTCATTAAACCTCGTGATCAGCCACTAACTATACCTGCCCAAGCAACACATTAATTTGATTAATTGTATAATATACGTATAATCAACCATTTTTCGGTGATATTTTAGTTTTGGTATATTCATTAAACGTTTACAAATGATTTATCGCCAACGTATAATTTGTAGACCTTAAATAAACATATATCATATACTACTTTATTACCAGCAAGTGTAGATTTGGGAAAACTAGATATGCTGTCACGCAAATTAGCAGTTAATTGTTAATAAACAATGTCACTATTTTGTTAAATTTGACGAAAGGTGCATTTTTCAACATCATGATTTTTTTAAAGTATTTAATAGACGTATTACATCCAATAAAATTTCACTTAAAAATAGATGTCTATGGTAGACGGAAAAGTAGGGTACATTATGGGTATATAATAGTATAAATATATACTTGTTTATCATACCTGTTATATTATACGGCCATACACAATATTCTTTTACATTTTACTCACGATAAGGGGTAAATAATCCCGTTATGATTAACTAACTGAGGCAGTATACCATGTATTATATTCCTGTCAGAAGTTTACTGAAAACCCGGGCATGAGATAGTTTATAGTTTATCATATTTGTATAATCAAAGTATAGGACCGACCAGCGACAAATGAAAATTCAAAGGAAGGCGGCAAACATGCGAACTAATATATCTATCACGCTCTATTCCATCGTAACTGTGTATTTCCATATCGTTTTTTCCTCCCCCTTCACCTCAGACCGATATACTTTTCTCTTATTTGTCAGTTGCCATCGCCATTGCCATGCCAACCTATCCTATATCCTAAGAGTATTTTTAATACCCCATCGGAATTTTCATTTGTTTTGGAAAATGTGTTACCTACACTGAATAATAAGTCGACGTGCCTTTTTTTCTAGTGATTTTGTGTCCCATTCAGTTTTCATTTGAAAGAAAAGGGAGCAATAATCGATTAAAATTCAAAAATTGTATATTTCCCGCGCTTGTGTAACCAACATGGAGTGCTGAAAGCACAGACCGGCCAACCAATCAGCTGCTGCCTGTGGCTGAACCACGCACGCGTCGTGCCGATCGCCCTTCATCTTCATCGATTGCGAACCATTTTTGTTAGTCGTTGTTGATAGCCGGTCTACAATGTGTCCGTGAGTGCGTAGTGCTTGCTTGCATGCTTTGACTTGTGAATCGTGAATTTTTAGCTGCCCCTGTTAATAGCAGACTAATGAATCCAGTAAGTGGAAAATTATTGGTTGTTTAGAATTAGGAATAGGTATTTATTTGGAAAACCTGGCATGTGTGCTATTTTTTTACAAAATTCAGCCATTTCGATACTTGATTTACAAGCTGATATTTCGTCGTTTCGTTTTCCACACAGGTACAAACAATTGACCATTCCAGTATTCCTCAGGCTGAGGGAAAACCGATATTTTTTTTGTAAATTTTGAAGTTTCCTAGGTTAAA